TAATAGTAAGGGCTCCAATGATGAAGAGCACTCCTCATCCCCATGGTGTCTTCTTGAAGGAGAAAAAAAAATCTTCTCTCATCTCAATCTACAATAATTTATAAAAATTTATCATATGATTTTTTCCTTACAATATTAAATGGCAAATGTGTTGAGTAGTTAAGTTAGACTTAAATTATATAATGAATCTTGGGTCTTGTCATTAAAATGAATGATAAATTAACTAAATACATTAAAATTTGTTAAAATGTTGGTTGAATTCAATTTACAATAATTTGTAAAAAAATTATTGTATTGTTAAGGGTACATTACATGGAGTCTCAGTGGGAGGAGAGGGAAATTGTCACTTTTAAATAGTATATTTGGTTTGAAGGAAATAAATGTAAAAGAACCAATGAGGTTTTTTTTTTTAAGCAACTCTGTTCTTATAGAATGTGAAGTAACCCCTCTCTCATCCTTTTACATACCATATCATTTGAATTTCGGAACTCTTACTTCTACTGAAAATAAATTACCACTGAATTATATAAGTCATTGGCAAAAGGAATGTGTTGTACCTATGATTTTGATGATTACAAAACATATTTGAGTGACTAATTGGTTCATTTAAGTGTGTAGTTAAAATTTCAAAAGATTGCAAAGTAAGTGAACTTGGACTACATTAAAAATGGACCAAAAGGCTGAAATGTGCAGAAAGCCAGCTTAAGAAAATGTGCAACCGGCTTTGGAAGGAAAAAATGTAGAGAGTCGGCTGCAACTTTTAAGAGCGGGCTCTACGAGTGAAACTTTCAAGTCCACTGTTTGGTGCACGTGGAAAACGGATGCTAAGCCGGCCTTGACTTTGCAGCCAGCTGTGATGGTACATTTAATGCAGAACAGTCAAGTTATTTGAAGATTATTTAATGTGTTTAAAGTTGGAATCCCAAAGTTGACTTTATGATTTGCAGTCGGCTATTCAAGAAAACAGAATGTGCAGAAAACCTACAAAGCCGGCTTTACGTTTTGCAACTGGCTCTACGAAGAAAACAAAATGTGCAGGAAATCCACAAAGCCAGTTGCAGATTTCCTTAAGGCGGCTGTAGAGCCGGCTCTAGAAGTGTAAGTTGGTTGTGATGACAATTCTGCAACTCGAATTAAGCGACCTACAGAGCCTTAAATGACCCTCAATGGCTAGTAACAACTATTTTTGACCATGGGGTTATAAAATATGGTTGGTAGAAGATTTGGTAGAAGTTTGAAGAGCTTTGTATTGAATATCCCTATCTACCAACTTGTGCTTTAACTTGAGTATTTGATCTTTGAGAGATCTTTGTTTGTAATCCTCTTCTTGTTCTATTTGTGAGTGATCTTGGGGGTGTGATTAGTCCTTCAAGAGTGATTTGTAAAGAGGATTGTTTGGGTTTATCTTGTAAAGGGGTAAGATTTGACAGAAACACCCTTCTTCTTGTAAAAGGATTGAGTGGTTCCTTTAAGCCACCCTTGATTTTGTTAGTGAAAAGTGTGGAGGAAATACTTGGTGAGTGAAGTCAAGGTAAAGGACTAGATTCCAAGTGGTTGGATCAAACCTCTATAAATTCATTGTGCAAGCTCTTCATCCCTACTCTCTCTTTGATTTTTGTTTGGGGGTTGCAAAGAGGTGAATATTTTTCAACTACAATTCACCCCCTCTTAGAGTAAATTGAGTCAACAAAATGTGTTTTATAACTAATCAAATTATAACATTTTCAAATATTATAATTTGATTAGTTGAGAAATCCATCACTTCCCTTCCTTCAAACCAAACACACACTTATGAGAGATTTTGGCAAAAGTCCTTCTTAAGCCCCCCAACTTACCCCAAAATAGGATTTAAACTACACCACTAAAAATGAAGTAGATAATCCCTCCATCTTCACTAACAATGCAAATAAACCTTTCTCATAAATGGGCCAAACAGTATTCCATGTTTAATATCACCTTGAAAGCATGGACACCCATGAATGAGAAGGGTTCATTTGCATCATTGGTGGAGTTCGAGAGCTTATCTGCTTCATTTTTAGTTTAGGGACTTAAATACTATTTTGGGTAAGTTTGGGGGCTTAAGAAGCGTTTTTGCCAAAGATTTTCAAATTGTAAAGCAAAAATGTTTTCTGCGTGTAAAAGTTAAGTTTCTTAAATAATTTCAAATCTTTTTTGAACAAAAATATTAAATTAGAATATTACTATCAAAATATTAAATATTAAAGAGTGCATCTCTAAATTGAAACTAATTTAAAACTTATTGAAAATAATTAAAATATATCAAAACAAATATAGAATATTAGATATAACACAAATAAGGAACAAAACATTATTCTAAGAGGGAACAAAACATTATTCTAAGGGGAAACAAAAAATACTCTATCAAAAATTGAACCTAATGTCCATTAACATAACACAACTAATAAAGTAGCATAAGAATATAATATGAAATGCATGCTTTAATTATAGATTCTAAAGTGTTGAAGCATGTAAATTACTAATAAGTAAATATATATCCAAAACTAAGAAGGAACATAGAAGTAAATACATTTGAGAAAATTAAAGAAAACAAAATTTAAAAAATTAAAAAAAAAAAGAAGAAGAGAGAGGCAAATTAAAATGCCAATTAAAAATATTATGGTTTCAAATTGATAAAAAAATATTAAATATAAATCCTAGTTCAAATTTAAATCCTAAAACTCTAAACCATAAATTTTAAAAACTTCGACCTTTAAATTCTTATTATTGAACTATAAAATTTTAAAATCCAAAACTCTAAAATTACGAAACTTAATGTTAAATTCTAAAACATTAAAGTTTAAATTTCTAATTTTTCATGTTAAATTTTAAATATTGAAACATAAAATTATTCTTCTTGAATTCTAAAAAAACATTGGGCTTAAAAATAATAAATACTTAATTTAAAAAGTAATATAATACAAAAATCTAGTAATTTTTCTTTTATTATTATGAATTAAATGTTTAAATGTACACTTTTCTCATATAATTTCACCTAAATAATCAGTCTCTTTTATCAATTTTTGATTTAAAAAAAATTAAATTAACAAAAGGTAATAGCAAATATATATTGAGGGTATGGTAGTCAAGTGACGCTAATTAAGCTTTCGGATTTTTTTTTTTTGCCATAATTTTGGACTTTGACATTAACTGATCTCATTAAATAACAACTTAAGGAATACTTAATTATAAAACAAATTACCAAATAAAGAAAGTTTTGTAATATGTTAAAAGTACCTCAAATTAAGAATTATGTAAAAATTTAGTACATAACATGATTTTCTTTTATTAGTTTCTCTCTTAATATATAGAGAGATATAAAATAAATTTCTAATGCAACATGATTAAATAATTGAGCCAAACAAAAAAAATACCAAATAGAAGATGAAGAGCATCAAATCTAATTCTGTTTGGGCAGCTTCAAGATCCGATACAGTAGATATCTTCAACTGCTTCAACACTTGAAATTCCCGAGGATGTTTCCTCGGGGAAAACACTCCGACGCTCAAGTTAGCAATACTCAATGTTCTAGAGAGAGATGCTCTCGAGGAGTAATCGCAGAGAGAGAAGCGTAGTGGAGTTAATACCTTGTATGGAGGTAGTTGGGGGTATTTATAGCCCCATATACTGACATGAGCTTAGACATGTATTCATCTAATTGGTCCATGTGTTATTACCCACGTGGGTGTGTCTTCTCATCTTGGGCTTGTGAACGCATAACTGGGCTTGTTGCATATGGCCCGAAGCGGGTGTTGGGCCTAATCCCAACATTACTCCCCCCTTAGTGTTCGGTTGACGAACTGGGTTGAGAGTCCCATTAGCATAGTGTTTGACCTTGGGGATGAGGAGTGACGTTTTATGGTCTATGATCGACCTCTCGCATGGCTGATCTGGGCGACTTGAGGCCAGCGCGGCCTGGTCTGATGTGTATGTATACGTCGGCTTCCTACCGAGCACGAGTGGGGAAGCTAGTGTCAAAACCAGTGTGAGTTCGGTGCTAATCGGCAAGCTAAGCGGGCGCGTAGAGGCGATCTCGCATATTGGATTTCTTATAGCAGAGCGAAGGCGAGCAAATGGTGGACGAGTTGAGCCATTCCAACCAAGGCGAACTGAAATGAGCGACCTCGATCGTCATTATAATGTAGATTTTTGGGATACAGAGCAAATCTAAGTGAATTGGTGACGATCTAACGTTCGATATTCAGAACTGAGGTGAATCTCTGATTTGTTACGAGCCGATCCACCGAGATTTTTCAAATTTTAAATTGGGGCAAATCTCTGAGGAGATCTCAAATTCGTTATGAGCTGATCTTTCAAGATTTTTCAAATCTTAAATTGGGGCAAATCTCTGAGGAGATCTCGAATTCATTACGAGCTGATCCTTTGAGATTTTTCAAATTTTAAATTGGGGCAAATCTTTGAGGAGATCTCAAATTCGTTACGAGCTGATCTTTCGAGATTTTTCAAATCTTAAATTGGGGCAAATCTCTGAGGAGATCTCGAATTCGTTACAAGCTGATCCTTTGAGATTTTTCAAATCTTAAATTGGG